AGGGGGTCAACATGAGAGAGAGGGGGGGTCAACATGAGAGAGAGGGGGTCAACATGAGAGAGGGGGGATCAACATGAGAGAGAGGGGGGTCAACATGAGAGAGAGAGGGGGGGGGATCAACATGAGAGAGAGGGGGGGTCAACATGAGAGAGAGGGGGGTCAACATGAGAGAGAGGGGGTCAACATGAGAGAGAGAGGGGGTCAACATGAGAGAGAGGGGGTCAACATGAGAGAGAGGGGGGTCAACATGAGAGAGAGGGGGGTCAACATGAGAGAGGGGGGGTCAACATGAGAGAGAGGGGGGGTCAACATGAGAGAGGGGGGGTCAACATGAGAGAGAGGGGGGGTCAACATGAGAGAGAGGGGGGTCAACATGAGAGAGGGGGGGGTCAACATGAGAGAGAGGGGGAGAGGGGGTCAACATGAGAGAGAGGGGGGGTCAACATGAGAGAGAGGGGGGAGAGAGAGGGGGGGTCAACATGAGAGAGAGGGGGGGGGGGGGTCAACATGAGAGAGGGGGGGGTCAACATGAGAGAGGGGGGGGTCAACATGAGAGAGAGGGGGGGTCAACATGAGAGAGAGGGGGGTCAACATGAGAGAGAGGGGGGTCAACATGAGAGAGAGGGGGGTCAACATGAGAGAGAGGGGGGTCAACATGAGAGAGAGGGGGAGAGAGAGGGGGGTCAACATGAGAGAGGGGGGGGGTCAACATGAGAGAGAGGGGGGTCAACATGAGAGAGAGGGGGGTCAACATGAGAGAGGGGGGGAGAGAGGGGGGGTCAACATGAGAGAGGGGGGGGTCAACATGAGAGAGAGGGGGGTCAACATGAGAGAGAACATGAGGGGGGGGGTCAACATGAGAGAGAGGGGGGGGTCAACATGAGAGAGAGGGGGGGTCAACATGAGAGAGGGGGGGGTCAACATGAGAGAGAGGGGGGAGAGAGAGGGGGGTCAACATGAGAGAGGGGGGGGTCAACATGAGAGAGAGGGGGGGTCAACATGAGAGAGAGGGGGGATCAACATGAGAGAGGGGGGGTCAACATGAGAGAGAGGGGGGGTCAACATGAGAGAGAGGGGGGGTCAACATGAGAGAGGGGGGGTCAACATGAGAGAGAGGGGGGTCAACATGAGAGAGGGGGGATCAACATGAGAGAGAGGGGGGTCAACATGAGAGAGAGGGGGATCAACATGAGAGAGAGGGGGGTCAACATGAGAGAGAGGGGGGGAGAGAGAGGGGGGTCATGAGAGAGAGGGGGGGTCAACATGAGAGAGGGGGGGATCAACATGAGAGAGAGGGGGGTCAACATGAGAGAGAGGGGGGTCAACATGAGAGAGGGGGGGTCAACATGAGAGAGAGGGGGGTCAACATGAGAGAGAGGGGGGAGAGAGAGGGGGGGATCACATGAGAGAGAGGGGGGAGAGAGAGGGGGGTCAACATGAGAGAGAGGGGGGTCAACATGAGAGAGAGGGGGGTCAACATGAGAGAGAGGGGGGTCAACATGAGAGAGAGGGGGGGTCAACATGAGAGAGAGGGGGGTCAACATGAGAGAGGGGGGGGTCAACATGAGAGAGGGGGGGTCAACATGAGAGAGAGGGGGGTCAACATGAGAGAGAGGGGGGGTCAACATGAGAGAGAGGGGGGGGTCAACATGAGAGAGGGGGGGGTCAACATGAGAGAGGGGGGGGTCAACATGAGAGAGAGGGGGGTCAACATGAGAGAGAGGGGGGTCAACATGAGAGAGAGGGGGGATCAACATGAGAGAGAGGGGGGGGGGGGTCAACATGAGAGAGGGGGGAGGGGGTCAACATGAGAGAGAGGGGGGGTCAACATGAGAGAGAGGGGGGGGGGTCAACATGAGAGAGAGGGGGGGTCAACATGAGAGAGAGGGGGGAGAGAGGGGGTCAACATGAGAGAGAGGGGGGGTCAACATGAGAGAGGGGGGGGTCAACATGAGAGAGGGGGGGATCAACATGAGAGAGAGGGGGATCAACATGAGAGAGAGGGGGGGGGTCAACATGAGAGAGAGGGGGGTCAACATGAGAGAGAGAGGGGGGGTCAACATGAGAGAGGGGGGGTCAACATGAGAGAGAGGGGGTCAACATGAGAGAGAGGGGGGGTCAACATGAGAGAGGGGGGGGGTCAACATGAGAGAGAGGGGGGTCAACATGAGAGAGAGGGGGGTCAACATGAGAGAGAGGGGGGGTCAACATGAGAGAGAGGGGGGGTCAACATGAGAGAGGGGGGGATCAACATGAGAGAGAGGGGGGTCAACATGAGAGAGAGGGGGGTCAACATGAGAGAGGGGGGATCAACATGAGAGAGGGGGGGTCAACATGAGAGAGAGGGGGGGGTCAACATGAGAGAGGGGGGGGGGGTCAACATGAGAGAGAGGGGGGGTCAACATGAGAGAGAGGGGGGGTCAACATGAGAGAGAGGGGGGTCAACATGAGAGAGAGGGGGGGTCAACATGAGAGAGAGGGGGGATCAACATGAGAGAGAGAGGGGGGGGGTCAACATGAGAGAGAGGGGGAGAGAGAGGGGGATCAACATGAGAGAGAGGGGGGTCAACATGAGAGAGAGGGGGGTCAACATGAGAGAGAGGGGGGTCAACATGAGAGAGAGGGGGGAGAGAGAGGGGGGTCAACATGAGAGAGAGGGGGGTCAACATGAGAGAGAGGGGGGTCAACATGAGAGAGAGGGGGGGGGGGATCAACATGAGAGAGAGGGGGGTCAACATGAGAGAGAGGGGGGAGAGAGAGGGGGGTCAACATGAGAGAGAGGGGGGGGTCAACATGAGGGGGGGGGTCAACATGAGAGAGAGGGGGGGTCAACATGAGAGAGAGGGGGGGTCAACATGAGAGAGAGGGGGGAGAGAGAGGGGGGTCAACATGAGAGAGAGGGGGGGTCAACATGAGAGAGAGGGGGGGTCAACATGAGAGAGAGGGGGGTCAACATGAGAGAGAGAGGGGGGGTCAACATGAGAGAGAGGGGGGTCAACATGAGAGAGAGGGGGGTCAACATGAGAGAGGGGGGGGGTCAACATGAGAGAGAGGGGGGGAGAGAGGGGGGTCAACATGAGAGAGAGGGGGGTCAACATGAGAGAGAGGGGGGGTCAACATGAGAGAGGGGGGATCAACATGAGGGGGGGATCAACATGAGAGAGAGGGGGGGTCAACATGAGAGAGAGGGGGGTCAACATGAGAGAGGGGGGGGTCAACATGAGAGAGAGGGGGGGAGAGAGAGGGGGGTCAACATGAGAGAGAGGGGGGTCAACATGAGAGAGAGGGGGGTCAACATGAGAGAGAGGGGGGGGGGGATCAACATGAGAGAGAGGGGGGGGAGAGAGAGGGGGGTCAACATGAGAGAGAGGGGGGGGGTCAACATGAGAGAGAGGGGGGTCAACATGAGAGAGAGGGGGGTCAACATGAGAGAGAGGGGGGTCAACATGAGAGAGAGGGGGGTCAACATGAGAGAGAACATGAGAGGGGGGGGATCAACATGAGAGAGGGGGGGGGTCAACATGAGAGAGGGGGGGTCAACATGAGAGAGAGGGGGTCAACATGAGAGAGAGGGGGGTCAACATGAGAGAGAGGGGGGGTCAACATGAGAGAGAGGGGGGGGTCAACATGAGAGAGAGGGGGGGTCAACAACATGAGAGAGAGAGGGGGGGTCAACATGAGAGAGAGGGGGGGTCAACATGAGAGAGAGGGGGGAGAGAGAGGGGGATCAACATGAGAGAGAGGGGGAGAGGGGGGTCAACATGAGAGAGAGGGGGGTCATCAACATGAGAGAGGGGGGTCAACATGAGAGAGGGGGGGTCAACATGAGAGAGAGGGGGGGGGTCAACATGAGAGAGAGGGGGGGGTCAACATGAGAGAGAGGGGGGTCAACATGAGAGAGAGGGGGGGGGGGCCAACATGAGAGAGAGGGGGGTCAACATGAGAGAGGGGGGGGTCAACATGAGAGAGAGGGGGGATCAACATGAGAGAGGGGGGGGGGTCAACATGAGAGAGGGGGGGTCAACATGAGAGAGAGGGGGGGATCAACATGAGAGAGGGGGGATCAACATGAGAGAGGGGGGGTCAACATGAGAGAGAGGGGGATCAACATGAGAGAGAGGGGGGGTCAACATGAGAGAGAGGGGGGGTCAACATGAGAGAGGGGGGGGTCAACATGAGAGAGGGGGGGGGGGATCAACATGAGAGAGGGGGGGTCAACATGAGAGAGAGGGGGGTCAACATGAGAGAGAGGGGGATCAACATGAGAGAGAGGGGGGGGTCAACATGAGAGAGAGGGGGATCAACATGAGAGAGGGGGGGTCAACATGAGAGAGAACATGGGGGGGGGTCAACATGAGAGAGAGGGGAGAGAGGGGGGGATCAACATGAGAGAGAGGGGGGTCAACATGAGAGAGAGGGGGGGATCAACATGAGAGAGAGGGGGGGGACATGAGAGAGAGAGAGAGAGGGGGGATCAACATGAGAGAGGGGGGGGTCAACATGAGAGAGGGGGGGGGGTCAACATGAGAGAAGTCACAGCCTGGTTGATCAGGTATCCTTTGGAGGTGCTTAGGATATAATATAGCTTCCCCAGCAATATAATTTCTCATTGTCCTCATCTTTCCCTAACACTATACTAATATTATACACTCATTATTTAAATCTTTGCAGCAGTACAGTACCTGTTAACTTGCTAACATTAATAGATACACCAATTTTTATATACCAGATACTTATATATAATGTATTTTTTTCTGTTAACATCCAAATTACTGCAAATTCTTAATCCCTGCAGTAGCTTTCAGAATAGTCTGAAATACTCTGCATAATAGTGGCTTTGCAAGAATGTATTTACATGTAATTCATCACTTTGTCCATATTAGTTAAACTGCAGCTGTTTAATGAACTAATTTGACTGTACTGAATGTGCTTTCCAAATATGATACAAAACCTAATGCTAAAAAGAGAAATGTGCAGTACTTAACAATGATAATACTTACACCTTGACTCTCCAGTTCATATTCCAAGAAATCGAAGTCCTTGAATACAGCAAACTGTTTCTCAGAAGAAGTCATGTCGTCTGCAGTGCGGTCATTAACTGTATCACCAGGAGCCACCGACACCTCTTCTGTGGAGGAGGCCATAGACGACTGCCTCTCCAGCTCCGAGCTTTGGCTGAATATGACCTGGCATTGGATTAACAAATTGTTAAAAGAGGTTGACAAAAATCCCGATATTAAGGTGTAATGTAATGTATGCAGTGGAATACGGTGGTGTTGCACTACTGTCTAGTTGAAAGTGATGTGCAGGAGGGTATACTGTACAGTCTTAAGAAAAAAGATTATTACTAATCTTTTACAAGCAAAGTATTGTGATGTTCTATCAAGGATATTCCAGGGGGAAAATACAGTAAAAAGTGCTAGGGGTAACTTAACAGCAGTGGGGAACAATAAAGTCGGCAGGGAAACATAACAATAATGGGGGTAGTACAAGTGGCTGAGAAATTTAACAGCGGTTGGGGCAGTAAAGATGGCAGCAATGTCATATTGAAAAAAAGCCAATATCAAAGCATGCAGCAATTAATATGTTTCTGAGGACAGGCCAGCCAGTCACTTCCTTAGACAACATTCCACTTCCCTTCCCAGGACATTGCGAAATCTAGCCTGGGCTGTTGTGACTCTCAAGCTTCGGTCGGAGTCTTTACTCACTGATGCCACCAGACCATAAGATGAGGAAGGGAGATACTGGAACGATATATATCCAGCTCTGAGTGATCACTAGAATGTACATTCCTCTACACAAAAACCTAGTTCAAGCGAACTTGAAATCAAATGGTATGTAATGGGTTGCATCTGTAGTAGACAGGAAGGCAACAAATTATTGTTTGTTAGGAATAATAGAGCAATACTTGACAGTCCATTTAACTTCATGTATTGACTGAGGGAGGTTTTTGAGTGCATATAAAAATACTTTCTAACAATCACTCGGGACTGGATTGGGGATTCTTCCGTCTCCGTTTCTCTGGGTGTGACTGGGTTGGGGTACTGAGAAACAATCACACTGTCAGGCTGGCATTTTCAATGTTTTGAAGAGAGCAGAATACTATCCAACAGAGCAATCAAGTGTCCAGCTCAGACAAAAGCATTTCATCTACATTGAACGTCATATTTTCATGAATTCTTGTGGGTATCAGGTCTATATTCGGAAGAAAATAATAGATTGCATTCCTCGTAAAAGCTTGCCCAAAAAGTGATAATGTAGCTGGTAGCTTAAGAAGAAAAATCAAATGGGTAAATCTATTAAATTCTTCAGATAATGCGGTTTGGTTATAAGGAGCACAACATGAGGAACAATGCTTAGACAGATGGTAATATAAGAAAGTGAAACTGACTGAAAACCAATACTATAAAATATACTCTATATATATTGAGTGGCACTCTGAACAATTTATTCTAAATTTCAGGCACTGATATATGTATATAATTATATTTTAATTATTTTTTCATCCAGGGAAATTTAATTGTTATTTATTTAAGAGAAAAAATTAATAATGTCTGATTTGAGCACTCTTCCCCAAGAGTCCAACAATTGGCCATTGCATTATTAATTACTACAAAATACCTGGTTAAAACCATTTTTGTATTATTAACTCTAGTGAGATGATGAAACACAAATCTGTTAGGAAAGTCCACCTGTAAAACAGTCAAATATTAAATGAACAACATTATACGGTATCTAATTCTAAAAGGAATATTTTAACCAAGTTGCTTATATTTAGATATCATAGAAGAGCAAGTCAACAATAACAAGTGTCCTTGCCAACTGTTGGCTCTGGTTCATCACCTGCAACCATATTCAATTACCACATTAGTATAAAACAGAAACAAATGGTTACATTATACGATATTCAAAAGTGCCAAGTGCTAGTTGCCCTCTTCCATACTCCTCTAAAAAGCATAACAAATTAGTATCATCAAAGACTATCGTGGCATGCCAAAGATCACAAGCAAACAGCAGCAAACGGCAAAGCATTGGCAAACAAATATCTGATATACGATAACCCACGTTCCTTGTACGTTAGATGAGCATTGAAGAACAATGAAAATAGTATTCCAAAATAAATGTCTTGTATATACAAGTACAGCACCTGTCTGCATAATAATTATATCACTTGGAATATTTGGTGTTATGATCATATACTGTACACGGATCTTCACTAATGATCTTCATTCTGTTCATTGGTCAGCTTACCATGGAGACAGATATAGAGAGATACAGAGATAAAAAGATAATAATGCATGCATTATTATACACAATGTAATGCAGGGGGTTGAGCCAAGGTAGGTACAGAGAAGTACAGTATAAAAATGGAATACAAGAGGACAACAGACAAGATGTGAACAAGTGCGGATGATGGCTCACCGTGGGGGAGGCGACAACTTGTGAACATGAGAATACTCTCTGGTCCCACATGGTTAAGGGCTAATAACTACCCTCAGTGAACTTTCATGTGCCTTTTGTTAGTATATATCAAATAATCTAATCCTGCAAAACAAAACTATTCTTTTAAATTGCACCTGTTTCTTTGTGTCTGATATAGTGCCATTACCTAGTTTCGTCTCCATTCCAAGATACCAAGATAACCATTCTCTGCTTCACTTTCTGCAATTTATATTATAATTAATTTCCTTCCATCTTTATATTTACCATTCCCATCCAAATATTTTCCATCACCTTTTCCCGATTCTCATTCAAAAGAATAATTATACGGTATTTACAACAAAAGCAGTGTTACATCATCAAAAATGCAAATTCAAACCAACCGACAGAAAACCTGAGGTGGAGATCTGAAACCCAACCCAGGACCACAGCCCTGGAAACTGAAGGAAGCCCAGTAATGAACCAGTAAACAACCAGAACACAGCCCAGAAATTGCTAGACATCAAAACCTAAGAAGAGATGGGCATGCAGCCTGAGAAGAGATGGGCACACAGCCTGAGAAGAGATGGGCATGCAGTCTGAGAAGAGACGGGCACGCAGCCAGAGAAAAGAGCACACAGCCTGAGAAGAGATGGGCATGCAGCCTGAGAAGAAATGGGCACGCAGCCAGAGAAAAGAGTATACAGCCTGAGAAGAGATGGGCATGCAGCCAGAGAAAAGAGTATACAGCCTGAGAAGAGATGGGCATGCAGCCTGAGAAGAGACAGGCACGCAGCCAGAGAAAAGAGTATACAGCCTGAGAAGAGATGGGCATGCAGCCTGAGAAGAGATGGGCATGCAGCCTGAGAAGAGATGGGCACGCAGCCAGAGAAAAAGAGCACACAGCCTGAGAAGAGATGGGCATGCAGCCTGTCTTTGTAACAAGCCTACACAGTACAATTTAAGACCTATGAATTCCAATAGACAGAGGGACTGTGGCTGCAAGAGTGACCATTGGAGTCTGAACACAAGCACAGGGCATGGAGAAGCGACTCAACACCGATCCTCAACTGCTCACCCAGTGGTGTATGGGCATCAAATATTATAAATGTAGTTTAAAATCAGATCATTAGTGTCAATCACATGGCCTATACATCTAAATAGAAATTAGCAAGTTCCCTTCACTTCCAAATTTGATAATTATAGTGCACATTTTGTTTACTTTGGAATTTGTTTTCAAATTCTAGTATTTAGCGGTGGTGCATAAAATGGAGTTACCTTGTTGATGTTGCCATCCTGCTGCACACCATTACCACAACAACCAAGGTCATGAAACAGAGACACGAGAGACAAAGGTTAATTTCTAAGCCATGCCATTCCCAGCAAGACTTATTATACAGAAGGGAAGACGCAATGTGAATAACACGACTTTCACACTTCAGTATTTACAAAAACAACCGAGATGTTATAACATTAAAGTACAGACCAGGCTCAGAATTCAACAAACATTTATGCATCTACTTATGAACTTGTACATCTTTTCTTAATCCTTGGCAGCTTTGTTTACATTTATTAAACAGTTTAAGAGCCTTGAAACTTGCCAATCAGATGATATTATTTTTATAAACAGCCTCTTAGTGGTTCAGAGCTCATAAACTGTTTAACATATATAGACAACACTGCCAAAGACTAAGAAAAGATGTAAAGGTTTGTAAGTACAATAACTGCTTCATGAATATAGGTCCACATTATTGACAAAATATTTTAGTGACAATAAACACCAAAACACTAATCACAAAAATAAAGAATTAATTGACCACCTTTATAGTCATGTGATTCACACATCCCACAAGAAGCTACAGTAAATAAGGAGGCAGCTTATGTACACCTGTTTGTGCTAGTCTAAGAGACCAACACACATCCTGCTGACCCATTCATGCCATGCTGTACAAGAATTCTGAACCAGTTCCCCTGGACAATCCCCTGAGCATCATACAATACAATATGTATTGTATTACAATACAATACAAGTAGACTGATAAAATATTATTGAAGATTTGGGAGCTCAGACAGTGTTGGGAACGGATTTAGAATATAAAACCTCTGCATGCCTAGAATTGTACCATAGAATATGTCATCATAAGAAATTTCAGGAAAATGCAGACAATTACCAACTTAAGTAGAACAAATTTAAATAATATACCAATATAGTTCATCACATTTCTCACAGAGAATCTAAATTACCACTGATATTTACTTATAAAATGCAAATTATATATATTGTATAAAAGTAAATAAATAAATAAATAATATATATATATATATATATATATATATATATATATATATATATATATATATATATATATTATATATATATATATATATATATATATATAATATATATATATATATATATATATATATATATATATATATATAATATATATATATATATATATATATAATATATATATATATATATATATATATATATATATATATATATATATATATATATATATATATATATATATATATATATATATATATATATATATATATATAATATATATATATATATATATATATATATATATATAATATATATATATATATATATATATATATATATATATATATATATATATATAATATATATATATATATATATATATATATATATATATATATATATATATATATATAATATATATATATATATATATGTCGTACCTAGTAGCCAGAATGCACTTCTAGGCCTACTATGCAAGGCCCAATTTGCCTAATAAGCCAAGTTTTCATGAATTAATTGTTTTTCGACTACCTAACCTACCTAACCTAACCTAACCTAACTTTTTCGGCTACCTAACTTAACCTAACCTATAGAGATAGGTTAGGTTAGGTTAGGTAGGGTTGGTTAGGTTCGGTCATATACCTATGTTAATTTTAACTCTAATAACAAAAAACTGACCTTATACATTATGAAATGGGTAGCTTTATTATTTCATAAGAAAAAAATTAGAGAAAATATATTAATTCATGAAAACTTGGCTTATTAGGCAATTTGGGCCTTGCATAGTAGGCTGAGAAGTGCGTTCTGGCTACTAGGTACGACATATATATATATATATATATATATATATATATATATATATATATATATATATATATATATATATATATATATATATATATATATATATATATATATATATATATATATATATAATATATATATATATATATATATATATATAATATATATATATATATATATATATATATATATATATATATATATATATATATATATATATATATATATATATATATATATATATATATATATATATATATATATATATAATATATATATATATATATATATATATATATATATATATATATATATATATATATATATATATATATATATATATATATATATATATATATATATATATATATATATATATATATATATATATATATATATATATATATATATATATATAATATATATATATATATATATATATATATATATATATATATATATATATATATATATATATATATATATATATATATATATATATATATATATATATATATATATATATATATATATATATATATATATATATATATATGATATGAGTATATTTTGGTAGCTGTCCTTCTTCTAAACATATGTTGTTGAATATGACCGAAAGGGTAAGATTATTTTATTAATTCTAGTACGAACCTTCTCAATATTTCTTATGTTTTTCTTCACTGTCGATGGTAATTGATAAATTAACTCTCCAAAATTCTTTTTTTTTTTTTTGCATTTTTATTTTTGGAAAAATATGATGTAAAAAAAAAAAAAAAAAAAATTGGAGAGTTAATTTATCAATTACCCTCGACAGTGAAGAAAAACATAAATATTGAGAAGATTCGTGTTAGAATTATTAATCTTACCCTTTCGGTCATATTCAACAACATACAGTGGCACCTCGATTAACGAGCGGCTCTATCTACGAGCATTTCGAGAAACGAGCAAGCCACTTGCAGAACATCTGTCTCTACTAACGAGCTTTTCCTCGATTAACGAGCATTTCCGCTGGTTCTCGGACACCTTTTACGACAGTTTTGTTGTTGTTTCGCAAGACGAGTTTTCCACATGACGAGCTCGGTGCCGGAACAGATTAAACTCGTTAATCGAGGTGCAACTGTATATATGTATTATATTATATTATGTTATATTACATACATACATACATACATACATACATACATATATATATATATATATATATATATATATATATATACATATATATATATATATATATATATATATATATATATATATATATATATATATATATATATATATATATATATATATGCTGTATCTAATAACCAGAACACAGTACTTGACCTATTATGCAAGGCCCAATTTGCCTAGTAAGCCAAGTTTTCCTGAATTTATATTTTTTTTTAATTTTTTTCTTGTGAAATGAGAAAGCTATCCATTTCAATATGTATGAGTTACATTTTTTAATTTGAGCTAAAACTAACGTAGATATATGACCGAACCTATCCAACCATACCTAACCTAACTTAACCAATCTTAAAATAACCTCAACTAACATAACTAAGTAAATAATTTATGTTCTTAATATAATATAATAATAATAATTCAATTAAACCAATAGGGGAAAAAAATTGCAAATAAAGAGAATCACTCTGCCTATTAGGCAAATTGGGCCTTGCATAGTAGTCCGAGAAGTGCGTTTTGGCTACTAGGGGGGGGGGGGTAGTGTGTGTGTGTGTGTGTGTGTAATTACCTAAGTGTAGTTACAGGATGAGAGCTACGCTCGTGGTGTCCCATCTTCCCTGCACTCTTTGTCATATAACGCTTTGAAACTACTGACGGTCTTGGCCTCCACCACCTTCTCACTTAACTTGTTCCAACCATCTACCACTATTTGCGAAGGTGAATTTTCTTATATTTCTTCGGCATCTGTGTTTAGCTAGTTTAAATCTATGACCTCTTGTTCTTGAAGTTCCAGGTCTCAGGAAATCTTCCCTGTCGATTTTATCAATTCCTGTTACTATTTTGTATGTAGTGATCATATCGCCTCTTTTTCTTCTGTCTTCTAGTTTTGGCATATTTAATGTTTCTAACCTCTCCTCGCAGCTCTTGCCCATCAGTTCTGGAAGCCACTTAGTAGCATGTCTTTGCACCTTTTCCAGTTTGTTGATGTGCTTCTTGAGATATGGGCACCACTCAACAGCTGCATATTCTAGCTTTGGCCTAACAAAAGTCATGAACAATTTCTTTAGTATATCGCCATCCATGTATTTAAATGCAATTCTGAAGTTAGAAAGCATAGCATAGGCTCCTTGCACAATATTCTTTATGTGGTCCTCAGGTGATAGTTTTCTATCTAGAACCACCCCTAGATCTCTTTCTTTATCAGAATTCTTTAAAGATTTCTCACATAATATATAGGTTGTATGGGGTCTATGTTCTCCTATTCCACATTCCATAACATGACATTTATTAACATTAAATTCCATTTGCCAAGTGGTGCTCCATATACTTATTTTGTCCAGGTCTTCTTGAAGGGCATGACAATCATCTAAATTTCTTATCCTTCCTATTATCTTAGCATCATCAGCAAACATGTTCATATAATTCTGTATACCAACTGGTAGATCATTTATGTAGACAATAAACATCACTGGTGCAAGAACTGAACCCTGTGGTACTCCACTTGTGACATTTCTCCAGTCCGATACATTGCCTCTGATTACTGCCCTCATTTTTCTATCAGTCAGAAATTTTTTTATCCATGTTAGAAGCTTACCTGTCACCCCTCCAATATTTTCCAGTTTCCAGAACAACCTCTTATGTGGAACTCTGTCGAAAGCCATTTTTTAGGTCCAGATAGATGCAGTCAACCCAGCCATCTCTTTCCTGTAATATCTCTGTGGCTCGATCATAGAAACTGAGTAAATTCGATACACAGGATCTTCCAGATCGAAAACCATACTGTCTGTCTGATATTATATAATTTCTCTCCAGGTGTTCTACCCATTTAGTTTTGATTAGCTTTTCCAATACTTTCACTATTACACTTGTCAATGATACAGGTCTATAATTGAGGGGGTCTTCCCTGCTGCCGCTATTGTAGATTGGAACTATGTTAGCCTGTTTCCACACGTCTGCTACGATTCCTGTACACAGGGATACCTGAAAAATCAGGTGAAGTGGAATGCTGAGCTCAGATGCACATTCTCTC